TGAATCTATCTAGCGGGGTTACAGATAACAATAAAAATATGGCAGGGGTTCTAACCCTTCCCCACTCTATCCAAAACTAACCTTATATTAGTAAGTTGTTGTGGTAGCAGCTACATTATGCTGAGCCTGGCTGTTATGGGTCACTACAAATATAACTCTCTGTATTACATTATTGAATAAGTCCACTGGTGTGCTGTGCTTTGACACAGGAAAAATAATAGATCTTGACGGACACCCAGGGGTCTATTTATAACCATTTCACAGAGCCATTCACCCTGCAAATCTTTCTGAACATTCATTCTGTGCGAAGAGGCAACAACTAGCATTTTTAGTATATTTTCCCTTCAGGTTGAATGTAATGTAGTACAACATTATGGCCACTAGAAAGAGCTGAGGAGCACAGGAAATATGTATTTATTTCCTATGCTCTTTAGCTTCATCTAGTGGCCATAATGCAGTACTATATGACATTCAACCTAAAAGGAAAATATATTTAAAAAAATTGTGTTTGCCTCTATTCTCACAGAACACATGGTCACAGAGATTTACAGGGCAGATAGCACTACAAATTGTTTAAAAATAGACTCCATCGTTTGTATCTTTTTTATAAAATAATGTTCAGGCTGTTGTGTTGTGCTGACTGCTAAAGATATGGTGCTGCAGGCAGTCGGCAGGGGCAATAGCCAGCCTGCTATTGGCTATTGCAATTTGAAATATACAATAGCAGGCTGGCTATTGCTCAGAACATTAAAATAAAAAAAGTTTAAAATAATAAAATTAAAAAGACAAAAAAAATTAAAAGTAAGATAAATTTTTATTATATTATAATCTTCTGAACAACAGGAACAGACAGCAAAACAAACGTGACCCTTCCCTATCCTATTCAAAACTAAAAAATGTTTTTGGCTGGAGTTACACTTGAAAAATGTACCTGTTCCGACTTACATACAAATTCAACTTAAGTACAAACCTGCAATCCCTATCTTGTATGTAACCCCGGGACTGCCTGTATATAGTACAATCATAAATATATACAGGGATCTACCATTAGTGTGCAGTTAAAGGGTTCTTTAGCCCAATTATATTATACCTTGGATTTATTTAATAACTTGCATTGATGTTGGACTATATTAAGCTAAGGCAATTGGGGCAAGTGCCTCGGGGCTAAAAGCCAGCAAAGCTCCATGCTGTATTTGCATTGAAGATACTTGCAACTAGCACATTGGCATTATACTTTTGCTATAACCAGATTCCCCTATTTTACACAACATTAACAGAAAAGATTGAATTTGTTCAATAGATACCAGTACTTGGCATCATGGAATGTAAAAAGGCCACGTATTTTCATACTTATCTGAGTGCCCCCATTTTTGCTAAGCTAAGCTATAATGCATAATAACCCACAACAGCCAATCAGAAATTAGTTTTTATTAGTCATGTAACACAACACGACATTGCTGCTTGTACTATGATTTTAAATTAGCACAGTTGCTTTTTTTGGTAAATGCTTTATATGTGATGTAGAATCTGCAGTGTTAATGTATATTCATATTACTTTATGAATAATCAGTTATAATAGAACTAAAGGAGAAATATTATACACCGTATAATTGGATTCCTGAGAACGAACATATTTTACTCCTATGCTTGGTTAAAAAAAAAAGTAAAGGCAACAGATTTAAAGCTTTTCTGTCTGAATTCATGAAATCCCAGTGGTTTGTTCCTTTGACACGTACAGGGAAAATTTACAAATGAAAGGAAAAGAAATGAGTTTAAGTTTTAATTTGGAGCTCGGCTATATTGTTATCTGCCAAAGCGCCAACCAACTTCTCCCCGCTCACAATGAGAAGAGGGTCATTGGCAGAAAACTGCCTACGCCACAATCAAATAATCTCTTTCATCCACAGCCCTGATCCTTTTAATAAACAAAATACGAAAAAGGGAGTCAAAATTACGTCTAGCCTGTTTGAAAAGCAAGGAAATCCTGCAAGTACAATTCCTCACTTGTTATGTTCTTGGACCATGTGACTTAAAGTCATTCTGTGGGATAAAAGACCCAAGCTGGTATCAGGGTTCTGCCATGCTTTTCCCTTAGTTCCCAGTCTTAGCCCATCTGTTATTCAGCGAGCGCATGAATGGCATGTGTCAAGAGAGTCATCACTGAGCAAACTGCCCAAAGAAATCAGCTAGGGGACTTCCTTTTTTTCCTCTTACACAATTGTTGTGGAGGCAGCCACCATATGGTGAATAATTAGTTTTTGACCCTACTCCAGTAAAATGTTCCTGCCACCGGCAGGCTCTATCAATATGTGTATTAATGAGAGAGGCAAGTGAAAGCATTTGCATTAACATTGTGATGTCTATTGTGCAAGGTTTTTATGGCATAATAGTTACACACAATAACATGTTTAATTGCAAGGCGCAATGTATTGTAGTGTCCCCAGCAATGCTGCTGCTGTGCTATTCTGTGTATGCAGCACGGAGTTATAGAATGATAATGCCCGAATGTGTTATATTTTCATCACTTCAAGCTGGAGCTGTAAAGGCACGTAACGCAGTCAAGGACACATTCCATAGCATAGTGATAGCTTGCTTGTTAGTGGTGCAATGGGCCAGGCCAAGGGATTTGCATGCTGTGTCAAAGCATTAATAAGGTGATGTTATCCATTATCAGGACACTTCTGGTATAATTACACAGCATTGCCCAGCTAACCACTAAAAGATGAAGTTTAATCTGCTAATTTTTTTTTGGCCTCCCTAGTCCCTCTCCCCCCTTAATCAACATGCTGATGACCTTTTTTAATTAAAATTTTCTGTTTTCATTACATGTCTTATTTTAGACTCATTGACATGATCGCTGGATCTCAATGCAGGCAGATCAGAGCTGGTGGAAGGGACCAACAGGGTATTGTACATAATTTCTTGAAAATATCACAGCCCCCTGCCTCAGTAATTCTCTCAAGAGGCCCCAAGCCATGATGGCCATGCAAACAGTGGGCTGGCTCTTAGGAAGAGTTATGTAAATATCAAAATGCTTTGATGGCTAGGTGTCTCTCTGAAGGTGTGGGAGTTCCCAGGTAGACAACATTTGCATGCAGACCACCCTATGTAACACCCACATGTGATGCTCAGCCACTGTGATCAAAAGAACTGAAATCCAATGAATGAAAGGGGTGGACAGTAAGGGAAGGAAAGAGCTAGATGATGCCGAATGTCCTGCAGCCAAGGAAGGAGGCAAGCTCTGTCTGACTTGCTTCAGCTTCTAATGCACTGCATGAGAAGCTCTTAGTGTGCAGTAAAAGTAAGCTATTTCAGTACAGAAAAGGAACCTGTAATAATGCAGATAAGACTTAAAGCTAAACTCCAGACATCCAGCTAAATACACAAATTAAATACATATATGAGAGCTGTTTTACCTGTCAAAGGATTTGCCTGCAGATCTGACTTTTTTTCTACTTTAGTTAACTAATACACTAGGGCTTCTTTCTGTCCCTAGCCTGTGACTGGACAATGAAGGAGAAGAAGAGGATGATGAGCTCATCTCTGTCAGTCTACTCTGTCCTGCTGCCCATATATGCCTTAGAATGTGAGAACTGCAGCACAAATAATTGACTCACTGTGCCATTTCTCTCTCTCCCAGTCTGAGGTCTGCTGTACAGGGACTGCAAGAGACCGATACCTGGTCATGTTTAGGTAATTACACTATTTTCCTAAAAAATACAGCCATTTGTTTATATAAAATGGTATATATGTTGTACGGACCTTTCCGGACCTTTCATTATACATTTCAGTGCAGTATGATAGACACCATAGAACTGAAACCTAAATGATTTCTAAAGTCTAAGATAATTTGAGTCTGGGCAATCTATGATGAGTTACAAAACCCAATCTTTAAAAATACAGCTAAAAACACAACTGTGCTAAAATGCCTTTCAAACACTACGAGCCATCGTATAATATTAACCTCTATACAAAAGTGTGTTTTGCATATAGATTGTTATTATTTAGGCTCCTATAGTGTTTGAATGTCATTTGAAAGAAATTATGTTTTACTTTTATTGAAAGTAGGGATGTACCAACACCTGTTTTTCAGTATCGAGTATGAGTGCCAAAATTTTTGTTTCGGCACTCGCCGATACCGAGTACCGATACTGGTGCTTCAGGTAGCATGGAGCCGGGCTCCCCAGCAATCAGGAAGCTGGGCAGTGTGTCAGTACCAGTGACGTGCCATGCCTTCTGTGCTCGGTGAGGCATCTCTCGTCCCGCTGAAGCTCTGCCCCGTCCCACCGGAACTCCGTCCCCGTCCCACCGAAGCGCCGTCCCCGTCCCACTGAAGCTCCATGTCAGATCTGCGGGGTATGCTGAATCACAGCTGCGGAACTCACGCAACAATGTATGAAGGGGTGGTTCAGGTGAACGGATCCCAAGTACACTTAGTGCGGTGGGGAGACCGTACACATCATACACCACCCGCTGGCTAATTGTTGACACAGGCCTCAGCCTCAGTAGGGCAGCCCCAGGAATCGCTTGAGGAGGATGATTATGGTAGTTCACTATATATCAACAACAACTTATAATTGAAGATAATCTGCAGTCACTATGATAAGTATGGCCCTCACTATAACAAGCTGAACAGACAACTTCCTCCCAATATGAATTCTGAGCATGAACAAGGAGCTGTGCTTGAAAGGTAAAGTTCCCTTTAACAACTAGTGACAGTTCAGGTATGACAAGCTGCAACTGCAGCGATTGGTATGGGTCTTGAATCCCCTGAGTATTTGCGCTTAGATGTCAGCAATTGGAGGAGAGATGACAGGGTCCTGGGATTGCAAGCAGTCTGAACAGGCAACACTCTTGGCCAGGGTCTGCCCTGGGAGCCTCGGCTAGGATTCGTCTCAATGCTGTATTGACAGAGACAGCGGGTCAGTCTGTAGCTGGTGAGGTTCACTGGGTCGTCACTCGACGTTCCACAACGAGAGAACGCCGAGTGAGTGACTCACCTGTGAATTTAACTGAGGAGCCGCAGCCAGTGGGAGGAGCCCGACGTGACGTCAGAACGGAGACGGTGCGCCGCTGGAACGAAGGGACGCGCCAGGTGAGTCTGTGACACTCCGTCCCACCCAGCCAACGCTCCGCCCCAAGCTCAGTAACCAAGCTGCATGGGGAGGAGGAGGAGGGAGGAGACAGGGAGAGGCCTCCCTTTCCCTGACCCGCTTGTCACTGGTGAGGCATCGATGTCCTCACTGGGTTTGTTTTTGTTTTTTTATTAAACAGCTTGGACCAATGGCGCTTTGCCATTAGTCCAAACCATCCACATGCCTCTAACACAGAGTAGAGGCTGTGACAGCTCTTGCCTTACCAAGTTAGGTTACACAAGCAGTGGGGAAGCCCGCTGCTGTGTAACCTAACTACCTGTCAGAAACCAGATGCAGCGCTGCCTGTAATTAGCAGCTCTATGTTCCCTCGCAACACTGCCGGTCAGAGGAAATCTCCATCTGACCGGAAGTTCCGGTATTGGGATAAGTATCGGAGCATTTGGCCAAGTACTCATACTCACCCAAATACTTGGTATCGGCACCTATACTAGTATCGGTGCATTCCTAATATAAAGTTATACTTAATTACTCATCATAGATTGGCCAAATCTCAAAGGGCAAGGAAACCTCAGAAGCCAATAGACAGGTGCCCTTTGCATTATAGGATGGTGGGGCATGTCAAATGTTAAAATCAGAGTTAAACATGAGGTCCATGTAAGGTTTGCATTGAACTTAAAGGAAAATACTTCAAGCCACATACACTCAACGACTGAGAACTACAGGGAACCTCTTGTAAATGCCAGGTTTTCACAGTGGCTAAAACATTTACCATAATTGGACTTTTGAACCCAAATTTATTATTGCAGGAACATTGTGGTTGTATTACTATAAATCTGCTCCAACGACAGTAATTATATACTGTAAGTAATTCTCCTGTTTGACACCTTTATCTTTAAGCAAATTATAGTTGACTAACACACAACACAATCCCCACCTTAATTACACTTATATCAGTGGATTTTAAATTAACTACTTTATTCTGCTTGTACTGTTTAGAATAACTGAATGTGTCCTCATCATGAGCTGCTACCCAATCTCTCTATTTATAGGCAAACGTTGATGTGCCTTAAGATTAAAGTAGAGTTTCAAACAAATAGACCTATGCACATGTTAACTGTTTTGCATTCCAAGGTTTTATCATTGTGATAAACTACTCTTGTGATTTGCATACCACAGTCACACTTAATATCCAGAATGACTACGCTACCGTTTCCTAGTTCACCTTTTAGTTTCCTGCCTGCTCACTGGACATGATGTTGATCTGCTGTCTGGTGAGCAAGCTGGAGATGAGGAGGTGACACTGGGAGCTGCAAAAGTGAAGAAAAAAATAGGGTTGTCACCCTATCTCGCTGCGGCTAATCAGAATTCTGCTTTAATTTAGTTTTTCATAATCAAATAGCCAGGTTTGCTGTTACACATATTGTAAATAATTTTTACCTGAAGTATTCCATCGGCTATTGGCATTAGGTTGTAATGTCCCTTGCTCATTTCTCACATTCCCTGAAGGGCCAGCTGATTTGCTATTTGCTATTCTGGAGCGGTACTGTTGTTGTGGCGATGGTGCCATATGAGAGATAAATCTTGGACACAGTACAGTGTGTCTTTCATTTTCTGGTCTGTGCTGTGTGAATAAAAACAAAAAGTGCATTAAAGTAGATTGTGTCATTTTATATTTTTTTCTTTAGTCTATGGTAGCATTTATATACCTATATATACAGTACTGTGAAAAAGGATTTAGGCATGTGTGGAAAAAAGGCTGTTAAGTAAGAATGCTTTGAGAAATAAAAGTGTTAATGGTTTATTTTTTATTAATTAACAAAATGGAAAGTAGAGAACAAAATGAACAGAAGAGAAATCCAAATCAATCAATAGTTGGTGTGACCACCCTTTGCCTTCAAAACAGCATAAATTCTTCTAGGTACACTTGCACACAGTTTTTGAAGGAATTTGGCAGGTAGGTTGTTCCAAACATGTTGGAGAACTAAGCACAGATCTTCTGTGGATGTAGGCTGCCTCAAATCCTTATGTCTTTTCAAGTAATCCCAGACAGACACTTGAGATCAGGGCTCCTCTGTGGGGGCCAAACGGTCACTTCCAGGACACCTTGTTCTTCTTTACACTGAAGTTAGTTCTTAATGATGTTGACTGTATGTTTGGGGTCATTGTCCTGCTGTAGAATAAATTTGGGGCCAATCATACACCTCCCTGATGGTATGGCATGATGGATAAGTATCTGCTTGTATTTCTCAGCATTGAGGACACCATTGATCCTGACCTAATCTCCAACTCCATTGGCAGAAGTGCAGCCCCCGGACTTACAAGGAACCTCCACCATGCTTTAATGTTACCTGCAGACACTCATTATTGTATTGCTCTCCAGCCCTTCGGTGAACAAACTGCCTCCTGCTACAGCCAAATATTTAAATTGTTGACTCATCAGTCTAGAGCACCTGCTGCCATTTTTCTGCACTCCAATTCCTATGTTTTCATGCATACTTGAGTCACCTAGCCTAGTTTCCACGTCGGAGGTATGGCTTTTTGGCTGCAAGGCCACAGAAAAATGGCAGCAAGTGCTCTGGACTGATGAGTCAAAATGTGAAATATTTGGGGGACAAGACACTAAAGCTGGCTATACAATAGTAAATTTTCATTTAAAGGAGAACTATGGGGTCAGTGTTTTTCCCCATAGTTCTCCTTAGGGTAACGGGAGGACACACACTAGCGTCCTTCCGTTACCCTAAGCTCAGTATACTGCGAGCTACAGCTCGCGGTATACTGGGACGCCGCAGCTGGAGCGGATCCCGACGTAGATGACGGGATCCGCCCAGCTGCGTGAGTGACAGCTGGCTCTGCCCCTCCCCCTGTCACGGCAGAGAGCCATGACAGGATCGAGAGATGAGCGAACCTGGTATGTGTTCGCTCACCTCCCGATCTACTGAGCCGACCTGTGACAGTCTCATTGTCACAGGTCGGCTAGAACTATGAGGTGAGTGGAAATCACTCATCTCATAGTTCTCCTTTAAGAAAATTAGTTCTTAAAACTTTCTAATAGTTGATGGGGTCAAATAGAAAAAATTTTGAGGTAGCAGGATGAAAAAATGTTCTCGGATGAACAAAATTCTAACAGTGAATGTGGTTTTCGTTTGGGAAACTCCATTTGAATATGAATGTTAGTCAATGTTAGCCAAAACGAAAATCAATGACATTCACTGATGGCATTATCGAATGGTCCGGACAGATCATTTATATGAATGTTCGTTCAGAAATCTACCAATGTATGGCCAGTTTAATGAGCACTTAAACACATAAACACTTCAATCAAAATGTTAATTAAATATACATAAGGAACTGCTAGGTTATATTTATACCTCATATAGTGTATGTTGAGCTATTAAAGTGAACCAACCTTGAGACAAACATCAAGGCTAAAAATTGTTATCTTTTTATCTGACATTTTGGGGGTGATTTACTAACCTAAACACACGCACGCACTAGGTGCGTGTGATTTTTACACAGCAAAACGTATTTATCAGCCAAAAAGTCTCTAAAAGCATATTTCCACTAATGCCATATATGGAAAAATCATGCACATGATGCATATATAATGCTGCTTCACAGTTTAGACAAAAATTGTTAGCTCATGCATTTACATTCCTGCATTCATCAACGCAAGCAACACAATGTAGAGCTAATTTACACAACATCACCTTGCAATTCATGCAGGGCTTTGCACAACACACCTGCTGGGTGTGTACACACTACAAATGTGTCTAGATTCCACCAATAGATCATGCTGGGAGGGAACACACTACAGAGGTGTATACTTGTTCGTGGCGTGTTTATAAGGTTAGTAAATCAACCCCTTTGTTTCCATACCCTTGAACAGCCAGTAACTATAACTGATGATCCTGTGATAACTGGGCTGTTTCTGATCACAGTTGTTTCCAAACTAGGGCCCTTTGCCCTCGGGACATTATCCCTATCTCTGACACAAACAATGTGGTACAATTCTTCTCAGTGATACCAACTGTAGGTTATACTTCCTCCCAGTGATACTAATAATGGGGCATAATTCCTCCAACTTACACCAATCATGAGGCACTATTCCTCCCACCTACACCAATGATGGGGCACTATTCCTTTTACAGACACCAACAATGCAGCACTATTCCTCCCACTGACACCAACAATGAGGCATAAATCCAACCACTGACACCAGCTATAAGGCACTATCCCCTCCACTGACACCAATAACCGGGCACAATTTCTTCCACTTACACCAACAATGAGACACTATTCCTACCACTGACACCAATGACAGGCCATCTACTCTTCCACTGACACCAACAATGTGGCACTATTCATCCCTCTGACACAAACTATGGGGAAAAATAACTCCCACTGACAACATTAGTAGGGCACTATTCCTGTTTCAGAAACTAAAAGTGGGGCACTATTTCTTTCACAGATACCAACAAAGGGGCATTATTTCTTCTCCTTTCTTTTTACTCCCACTGATCTCTGATGCTAAAGCATTTTCTGCC